GTTTCCCAGCCGCGCGCCCAGCGCGCCTGCGCCGCCCAGCCGTCTCCCTTTCTTCAACCTCCACCACTCCCTTTTCAAAATTAAATGGGAAAGATTTGAAGTTTAAAAAAAAAAAAAATGTAATCAATGCCTCCTTCTCCAAGTCTCCTTGGACATGGGGCATCGGGGGGCAAATGATGGGTTAAGCCCAAATAGTCCAATTTATGTATTAAAGCCCAGCCCTGGTTGAGGAGCCCAACCTCATTGTGAATCCACCAAGTCCAAGACAGACCAAGGCCGGTTAGACTTCTTGCTTAACACGTCACCAAGAGGAGATCACGGGAAGCTTAAGGCCGGTTAGACTTCTTGCTTAGCACGTCACCAAGAGGAGAGCACGGGAAGCTTATCTGTACCGCCTTAAGGAACAGTCCAAATCCACCAAGTCCAAGACAGCCCAAGGCCAGCTAGACTTCTTGCTTAGCACGTCACCAAGAGGAGAGCACGGGAAGCTTATCTGCACCACCGAAGGAAGGAAACGGTCCAATCTTTGACCACGTTTCATTAAGAGCTCCCCAACCACTTCCTTCCGTTGAGGATAAGTCGTGATCTCCACCAAAGATAATCTCTAAGCTGCGATAAAGAAGCCTTGAGGATATGTCATGATCTCCACAAGAATGATCTCTTAGCTACTATAAAATGGCTCTAATCTGGGAGAGGAAGAGTACATGCTCCATCAGAGACTTAAAGAAGACGAACCGACTACCGGAGATTACTATTGTCTTTGATTCTCCATTCTCCCTCTCAAAGCTTGTATCTCCATTCTCCATACCATTGAATCAATAAAATACCCGGCAACTGAAGCCATTGAAGAGTGGACGTAGGTCGAATTGACCGAACCACTATAAATTGTGTCTTCTCTAATTTTTTCGTTGATTTCATTGCATTTATTATCTATACTTGACAGGTGGTGTGCAAAACCATTTTTGTGCATCATCACAAATTATTATATGTTTTATTATATAGATGTACCCACTTTTTAGTATTTAGAATTTTGGCTAGATTGAGTGATACACTAATATTTTTGTCAAATCTTCCCACATTCGTTAATGAACCTTTCTACGTTTTCTTCCTCATTTGTTGAGTGTTTAGGTTACAGATTTATAATGTATCTTTTTAAAATAAGCAGTTTCCTTATTGGTTGCTCGTGACCGCTCTAGTCATTAACAATAACCCAGTTTTTTTTTTGCTCGGGCAGACTTCGTACTTATCACTTGAATCGTTGAAACAGTGTTCCTCTAAAATATTAAATCATTCAGCCTTCCTTGTGCTTGTTCATCTTCACCGACTGTTCGGGAGCTTCGCAAACAACCATTAGGCGAGGGTGATTCAAATTCTGGTTGGATGTCAATGTTATCTGTTCGGTTGAACCATCTTTGGCTCGGTCAGTGGCACTTTGCTTTCGCCAAATTATCCCTTCTCACTTTTATCCCGTGGTCTTTGTCGCAAGTTCTCATTAAATAGTCTAATCATGCGTAAGAATATTTTAAACCCCTTCAGTAATTTTCTTCATTTATGGCGAAAGAGAATTTTTATTTCCTTTAAGTTCTTGTTATAAACCAGAAAGGAAAAAAATAATATACTATTTCAATTCATACGGCCTCTCTTACCAAAAATAGAAAGAATTCATGAGGCCTCACAACGTTAAATACCACACAAACTAATTGATATTTTGATTGTATAATTGGTATGTTAAGTAATTTCCTTGTCGGTGGAACTAATTATAGAGTTACCAAGAAAAGGAAACAAAGAAGTGGAACCAGAAAATGATTACTACAAAAGCATGTGAATTAATCTTTGCCAACCTTATTATTATTCTTGGACTGACTCTCATTTTAAAAACTTAGCCTTAGACTTCAAGCAATGCAACTGTTATATTTCAAATGAGTAATGTTATTTGGATCTAAAAATTTGATTTAATTTGTTGACATAATGATATAGCTTAATAGGAATCATTGGATGAACACCAAATTTCAATGTTTGATGGGACTTACAGTCAATTCAAAGGTCACAGTAAATTAGGTCAATAAATTAAATCAAATTTTTAGGTCCCAATAGAATTGCTCATTTCAAATTTCAGTCACCTCCATCGCCCTATCAATGAGTCAGATTTAAGTATAATTCCAAATCCGCATCCAATTCAATTAATTGTGTATTTTATTTTAATAGTTTTTATAAAAATCTAATATGCGACGTTTGATATGATAAAAAAAAATTAAAGGATGAAAAGTTAGAAGGATAAATAAAATATCATATTTGATAAGGAATGAAAATAGGAAGGATGGAAAAGTAGATGTATTAATTCTTCATACAACTCACCATAATCAATTCCTCCAAAATGGGAAAAAAAGTGGATAAAAAATTAATTGTTTTTGTTGAGATGTATCTTATTTGTCTATATATCTTTTAATATATACTTATATTATGTATATAATAATTTCATATAAAAATAGAATGATATAATATGTATATATATTTTAAAAATTTTTAAAATAAAAAATAAAAATAAAAAATTTAAATTTTAAATAAAAAAAATATTTTTTTTAATCTTAACTAAGGATGAAAATTTTTGATTTAACATAATAACACGACTCGAACTCAACCCGAATTTTATGACACGAACTTGATTATAACTCGACGTGAATTTTAAAATAATCTAACGTGCGAACAAGAAATATAAAAAACACATATTTAGTTCAATCAGTCAAACTCAAAATTGACACAATCAACTTATTTATTTAAAAATGAATACTTTCTCTATTTTCTTATTTGTATAGTAACGCGAAATTAACATGTTTAATTAGTATTATAGACATAAAATGTTAATTATTTGTAACTATTTATTAAGCACTGACATAATTATTATATAAAAAAAGATATTTTTCCTTATTATTATAATATTAATTTAATTTAATTTTTAGTTTGTAGAAAAAATATTAACATGGATTCAATTAATTGAAAATATTAGCGTTAAATTTTTTATTCAAAGTTTATGTAGGTCAACTTGAATACAAATATGAACACGACAAGAAATAAACAGATCAACTTACAACTCGACATGACACAATTAGTCAAATGAGTTGAGTTAGGTTTGACTAATGTTTGACACAAATCCGTACTCAACACGAATCTGATGCGACACGACTCAATTGTCACCCTAATCTTGACCAGCACAAAAAAAAAATTAGTTATTTTTATTTTTCATCCATCCAATCAAACACAAAGGAAGGAAAGTGTATTATTCCTACTTTCCTTCCTTCAAAGATAAAAAGTCCTTCCTTCAAAGATAAAAAGTGTATTCATCTTACTTTCCATTCTTGTTACTTTTTATCCTTCCTACTTTCTATCACTCCCGCCGCACATACCATTATTGTTTGAATATTTGATTCTAGTCTTTGATCTGAACTGAATATTATAATTAGAGTTGAATTTTTAAAAATATTTCATTATTTTACTTGAATTTCATCAAATAACTACTGAATTTCAACATATAGTTATCGATATATTCATACAAAATTCTTGTGAAATAAAAGTTGAACTGAATATTAGTAAATTCATGTCGAAATTGGGAGTTGAATAATTAATCACTGAATTAAATTATATTCAACTAATCAAATTCAAATTCTTTTTCAAATTGGAAATACAATTGGATCCATTAACAATCTCAGCTCATATCCCCACGCCACTGTCGTATCCTTCTGGAAGTATTCTTTATTCCAGTCTCCAAACACCCCCACCCCCACTGGATATCATATGACCCATGTTGGTATTTGTAAGCGAAGAAAACGTATTTACCTCTTAGGTTGGTTGACGGATGTGGTTTTTATATTCTGTTATCTCATTTCCTTTCCGTAAAATAAATAAATTGTCAAAGACACTCCAATACTTAAGTCAATAAATATATAAAAAAAAATGTGTATACAAAAAAGGTTGTGCATACCTTTACCGTGCATCCTCGATTCTTTATATAGTGTCTCTCTTTTTGTTAGGGTTAATGTAATTGTTGATGTAAGGTGGCGTACCTCCTGAAATATTTTTAGAGATTGCTGAAATCTCTCGAGATGCTCTTCCTAGTAGCTCTTCCCAAGTGATTATGCTTATTCGTTATACCTAAACCCCATGATTGCAGGCATTCTTCCAGTTTAAGGCTGTTCCAAATGGAGCTTGGCCTTATCAAAACCGAACTCCTGCTCCTTCCACCGAGCCTCCACTGTTCGGTTCGTCTTCCATTTCACTGTTTCCTCACATGATCTGCCTTAGCATTCTCACGCGAGTGCATTAATTACTCTCTACGTGACACAATTTTATGCCCGTTCAGTATCTTTTACCCTTCACAGGTCACACACAGTCACAGACTTTCTGGATGAAACTCTCTTTTTTGACTTTTTTTCCCTCTAAATAATGAACTAATAAATATGATAAAAATAGAGATTATATAGTGTGATTTTACAATAATAATATTTTTAACTTCATTTTTGTTTGTTTAATATTTAAAATTTGTTTATTTGTCACATCATTTAAAGTTTATTTTTTATCTCATTTTTAGTGAAGGTGGGCATTATTCTTTTGTACCTTTAAGGGATGTTTGAATTAGGTATTAGGATGTATTGGATTGAATAATTTCATTCATTCCATACCCATTTAGTGGAAAAGAAAGACAAATTTAAAATCTATGTATCCTCGTCTCATGTTTAGTTCAAATATTGAAAAATTATGAAATTTATAGTCAATTTTTTCTAGGATTAAAATATCTTTTGTTCAAATACGCTTCGACCGAAATATTATAACCCACCAAATAGGAGAAGTTATTTAAGAAGTTATATATGTGTATAAATCCACTAAGTGATAATATCGAACTCGAAATATAACTTAGATAAATAAAAAAAAAGGTGAGCCAGACATTATTTTTTCCCATCTCTAAAGCACCCTCACTCTGCCGAGAAGCCAAAAGTAGCATCACTTTCACGAGCATTCCCTGTAATCCTAATCGGCCAATTACTTTCCTCGCCGTACTAACCAATAATCAATCACTTACCAAGTTAAAATTCATTCTCCCTCACACATTTCACACACTATCCACCATTAAAACACAAGTCTAAGTTGTTATTCCGATGTGAAACACACTGTAATTCCCAATATTCCGTGCTTCCTCTCACTTGGCAGCCGTGCATGAACCTCTCTATCTCTCCGTTACTTCCCCATGAACGTATAATCCCAGCGTTCTCATTTTTTTTAACAGTTTTGTCTCTCTTCTCTATCTGAAAATGACTTATCAGAGTCTTGAACAACTTTTGATTATGGCGTTTTTGATCGTCGTTTTAATTTCTCCGGCGAGTTCTTCAAACAGAGACGTCGCCGTTTTGCTATTAGTCAAGAATGGTAAACTCGACGATCCGAATGGTAGACTCAGTGACTGGAACAACTCAACTCACAATGCTCCATGCAATTGGACTGGCATTACCTGTGATTCGCAGAGCCACGGCGTCGTTTCAATTGACCTCATCAGCTTCGAAATCGCCGGAAAATTTCCAGCGGATTTCTGCCGGATTTCGACGCTCAAAAGCCTTAACCTCGGCGATAACAATTTCTACGGTGCCATCTCTGCAAACTCTATCTCTCTCTGCTCACGTCTCCGATCATTGAATCTCTCTTCCAACTATTTCGTTGGTGAATTACCGGAGTTCACGACGGAATTTGCAGAGTTGAGGTTGCTCGATCTTTCAGCGAACAACTTTTCCGGCAAATTCCCGATGAGTTTCGGAAACTTAGCGAAACTTCAGGTGCTGTGTCTTTCCGGAACCTTGCTCAACGGCTCAATCCCTGAGTTCTTGACCAATCTAACCGAGTTGATTCGTCTTGAACTCGCTTCACCTTCGTGGAAGCCAAGTCCACTGCCTTCTACAATAGGACGACTCACTAAGCTTCAAACTCTATGGCTTGCGTACTCAAATCTCATCGGAGACATTCCCCTCTCGATTGGAAACCTCAGTTCTTTGAAGAATCTCGATCTTTCGCATAACCTACTCACCGGTAAAGTCCCTTCAAGCATTTCTCGACTGAAAAATGTGGAACAAATCGAGCTCTACGCGAATGAACTGTCAGGTGAATTGCCAGACGCGTTTGCATCCTTGACTTCGTTGCGCCGGTTTGACGCTTCTCAGAACAATCTCACCGGCAAAATACCGGATAGTCTCGCCGGTTTGCCTCTCGAATCATTCAATCTCAATGACAACAACCTCGAAGGCAAAATTCCAGAAATTTTATCTTCAAACCCTAATCTCCACCAATTGAAACTGTTCAACAACAATTTTTCCGGTACTTTACCGGTGGATTTAGGTATGAATTCAGATTTGGAGGATTTTGACGTCTCTGGGAACAATTTAGAAGGTCCACTGCCTCCCAATCTCTGTTACACAAAGAAACTTCAACGTTTACTCACTTTCAGTAATAGATTCTCTGGTACAATTCCAGAGTCGTACGGCCAGTGCAGTTCTTTGACGTACGTTCGACTCGAAAAAAATGAATATTCTGGACAACTACCAATTGATTTTTGGAGTATTTCTGGACTAGAACTCATTCAACTGTATAGCAACAGGTTCGAAGGTTCGATTCCGCCTTCAATTTCCAACGCTCGAGGTTTTACTAAGTTACTGATCTCCGACAATAACTTTTCCGGTGAGTTGCCAGCAGAAATATGCGGTTTACAAGACCTCGCACTCTTCGATATAAGTAACAATCTATTTTCTGGTGCATTGCCTTCGTGTATAACCAAATTGAAGAAACTGCAGAAGCTCAACCTTCAGAAAAACAGAATCACCGGTGAAATTCCAAAAGCTGTTAGTCTATGGACAGAGCTAACGGAAATTAATTTATCGAACAATCAATTAACTGGAGATATTCCAGGCGAGCTTGGGAAATTACCGGTGTTAACGTATTTGGATCTTGCCGGGAATTTACTTACAGGCGAGATTCCAGCAGAGCTGACCAAGTTGAAGCTCAACATATTCAACATCTCCAATAACAGGCTTGAAGGCAAAGTGCCCCTTGGTTTCGATAGTGATTTTTTTGTCACAAGCTTAGTGGGTAACCCGGATCTGTGTAGTCCAGATTTGAAACCACTCCCTCCATGTGCAAGACCCAAACCCGTTAGCCTCTACTTGGTGGGTATCCTATCGGCCTTGGCTCTAATACTTGTCGGGTCACTTCTTTGGGTCCTGGTCAAGGCCAAAAACTCGTACACATTTCGTGGTAGAAATAAACGGTCATGGAAGATCACCACATTCCTACGGGTTGGGTTCAACGAAGAAGACGTGTTAGCTTCGTTAACTGATGATAACCTTATTGGAAGTGGAGGGTCAGGTCGTGTGTACAGAGTGAAGCTCAAGAGTGGGCAGACCGTGGCTGTGAAAAGGCTATGGGAAACTAACCAGCAATCGGAAACTGAGGGGGTGTTCCGATCAGAGGTGGAGACATTGGGTACAATCCGGCATGGCAATGTTGTAAAATTGTTGTTTAGTTGCGCTGGAGAGGATTTAAGGGTACTGGTGTATGAGTTCATGGAAAATGGAAGTTTAGGGGACGTTTTGCATGGGGAGAAGGGTGGGGTGGTGTTGGATTGGGCCATGAGGTTCACGGTGGCAGTTGGGGCGGCACAAGGGCTGGCCTATTTGCATCATGACTGTGTGCCCGCAATTGTGCACCGGGATGTTAAGTCGAACAATATACTTCTGGATGAGGAGTTTAGGCCGAAGATAGCAGATTTCGGGCTGGCTAAGACATTGCAGCAGAATGACCAGGAGGGTGGTGGAGTCATGTCACGGGTCGCGGGTTCCTACGGCTACATAGCGCCAGGTGAGTTGTGCACTATGGCTTTGTCTCTGTTTTTTACTTGCATTGAGCTATGATAGATTCATTCATAGGGCACAAAAGCAATTATTGTTAAATTCCTAGGATAAATTTTGGAATGTTGTTAATATTGTTAATTCCGAAGCCTTAGTTTTTGACTGTAAGGGTTCGTTTGGTTAGCAAAAAAAAAATGATGAAAAGTGAAAGAGATAGAAAGTGAAGTGAAAAAAAATATATTTTCATCTATGCATTTGGTTAGCATGAAAAATTTACCAAAAAATTTAAAAAAAAATTCATTCCATTGTTTGAAAGAAAGGAAAGTTACAAGAATTTTTTCTAATTGTCTAAATTATCATTAATTATTTAAACTTGGTATGAAGAAGAAAAAAATATTTTTTATTATTCAAATTTTTAAAAAATTGGCTCCTAATCTAATTCAAGGACAATAATCGACTCGAACCTTGATCTCTAAACCAAATTATATAGTTAGCCTAATTTATACAAATTTTTTTTAAATTAATAACTAATTTAATAGTTTAACAAAAATAAGGGTAAAATGACAAGTTAGGCTATTGAACACAATTTTCTTGCGTTTTTTATAAGAAAAAAAAATTAGTTAGATGTGAGAAAATCTAAATATGGAAGAAAATTATTTTTTCTATCATTTTCTATTTCATGCTAAACACACATAAAATTTTAAAATTTTCTCTTTCTTGTATTTTCTAGCATTATCTTGATAAACAAACGGACTCTAATAGAAATTATTCAAGTTTGTGTCTAAACATATTGGTTTCTAGAGCCTGGGATGGCTCTGTGACTCTGTCATTTTGCAATTGCCGACACATAATGCGAGCATACCCTAATTACACCTTGCAATTGCTTACACATTTTGTTTTGTGACAAATGGTAGTCTTTGTGTTAATCTAATTACATTTTGCAGAGTATGCATACACCTTAAATGTTACTGAGAAGAGTGATATATATAGCTTTGGTGTGGTGCTATTGGAGTTAATAACTGGGAAGAGGCCAAATGACTCCTCCTTCGGTGAGAATAAGGACATTGTGAAGTGGGTGACAGATGTTGTCTTGTTACGTCCAGGGCAAGGAGGCATCATTACTGGCAATTGTGGTGCAGATATAAGTCAGCTCATAGACACAAAGTTGAACTCATCAACGTGTGATTTTGAAGAGATTGAGAAGGTTTTGAACGTGGCTCTTCTTTGTACTTCAGCACTCCCCATCAACAGACCCTCCATGAGAAGAGTCGTTGAATTACTGAAGGACCATTCACTGGCTCGTCCAAAGTCACATTGTTAGATTCTGGTAATTGATAACTCTTGGTTCGACTCTTCTACTCCTTTCTAGGTGGCATCCAATTTTCGTGTATGTCAATTTTGTCAAGGTGTTGTACACAGTAGGTGATGACTAAATACATTACTTAACATTAGGCAAGCTCTTCAAGGCAGGCCAGTCAAAATTGCTAGTGTTATTACTAAAACAATAAATAAACTTGGTGATATCTCGAATCGTAGAAGTCGTGGAAGTCGTGAATCGTGATTATCCTCGAACAGCCCTATCCAATATTGTGTACCTAATGCACAAAGCTCCTTTGCGATGTTAGTGTGAGAGAAGTGACATAAAATCTTATTTGTATTTAGAAAAATTAATTTTGAACTCAACCCCGTGATTTATCTGTCAAGAAAATGAATAATTGGGATTGATTCAAGTCCACCGTCCTAGTAAAGTAAAATCGCAACTTTGTTTTGTGCTGTGAAAAACTGAGAGTACTTCTTTCATTATCTTTACTTGCTTGTTTGACTGCTCAAAGTGGTCTATTTGTTTTGGGACTAGATTGGGAATTACCTTCCTTCATAGCAAAAGAGGCGTGTTATTCTTTGTTTTTTTGTTTATCAGCCAAAACTTGAATTATTTTAGCCACTATCCACAGGATTACAATCAGATAGAAGAATAGATTGCAACTCTCAAGGGGGATGACCAACACATAAATAAGAATTAACATTTCGTTTTAGTGTATTATTTCAATCACTTAAGAAACAAAAACATTTCGAAAATGTGTCGAAAACGTTTCAGAAGAAACATGGAAAAGAATACAAATTTTGAGAGTTTATTTTCAAAAAATTTTGAAACATTGGTAAAAATATACTAAAACATTTTGAATCATCTTGAATCCCCTCAAAATATTCTGTAACAATTGTCAAAACATCTCAAAACACTTAAAATTTCGATTTTACTATTGTTTCCTTTCAATACACTTAGAAACTGAAACATTTCCGTCTTTTCAACCCTTTCAATGAAATTTTGATCTAAAGGGTAAGTTTCTGTGCTAACGAAACGGCGGACAACCAATGAGCCGCTTTGTTGCACAGATAAGTAATGTGTACCCTCTTGGAGCATATCGTGAAGACATCAAATTCACTTCACACTAATGTGGGCCCTTGGAAATGAACATTGACGCTAGCTACATCTGCATGGGGACTAGGGGAAAGTTGTAATAATGGACAGCAGCTACTCAATGGCGACGCTGAGTTGCTTCCCTGCATACTTCCCACGCAGATTCTCCTTCGAGTCCATCTTGTTCAGGATCAAAGCCCCAAGACCACTTAAAAAGCAATTTAAATCGAAATACTTGCACAGATAAGTAATTTGAATGTGTCCATATTTAATTCGAAATATACATAATTTGAACAAACATTTCAATATTTGGTATCGGTTCACTGGAATAAATTTCAACTCAGGACAATATTGAGATGAAATTTTTGATTTACGTGATCATGTTTAAATTACTATTCAGCTTAAAAATCGAATTCAATCCCAATTTCTGCCCCATTGTACAATCCAAGTATCAAAATTATTCCGAATATAATATTCAAATTTCAACATGAAATGCAAACCCCTAAATTAAAATCCGAAATAAACCTGATTTCTATTTAGTCTTTGTAAGTTGATTCCAAAAATTTGGACATCATCAATTTTGAAGATGATGAGTTCGTGTTTAATTCAGATTGGTACATAATGGTTTACAAATCTAATTGAGTCTAGCTTAATCTCACAGCTTGCCTACCCACCAATATGCTCGGTTAAGAATAAAAGATTTGTCTGGCTGTTTAAGCCTAAAATATAAAATATCAAAAATATTCAGTATATTGATACTTTGTATCCTCAGATTTGTCGGTCAATCTCAACAAATTTTGAGCAACAGTATCTCGAATTGTTTTGTTTTTAATATGCTTACTATCACTGAAGTTCTTGCTATTGCCCAAAAAGGAAAAAGAATATATATTTCAATTCAAATGGCAAAAAAAAAAGAATTCATAAGACCTCACAACGTTTGTACCGCGCAAAACTAGTTGGTAATTTGATTGTATAATTGGTATGTTAAGTAATTATATTTCCTTGTCGGTGGAACTAATTATAGAATTACCAAAAAAAAAAACAACCAAGATGTGGAACCATAAAAGGATTACTGTCAAACATGTGAATTCATTTTTTGCAAGCTCAATTATTATTGTTGGACTGACTTTAATTTTTAGTAACTATGCATACTGCTACTGAATGAGAGAATTCTTGCAATGGGTTGAGATTGCAATCTTTCAAATGATCTCAAATGGTGAACCTTAAAGGGAAAAACAAAGTGAGGAAAGTTGTCGGGTGTAACTCAAGCTTAATTCCTCCGATGCTTTGAGTCAGTCGACGTTCGAATGAGAGGAAGTGTACAGTATATTGTGAATTTAGGTTGCATAACTTAGTTCAGATTTTAGAGGGGCATTTATACCTTAATTGTAATGACGTCTTTCTTATCCCGAGTCCCATCCTAGAATTTAATAGCCTTGCACTTTGATCATTATGATCGAGCATAATGAGTGTTATTGTCACACCTCATTAGTGCTGAGTGCTCGGATGTCCGAATTTGTTTTAAGGAACATGTCAAGCATTTATGGCTCACTCCCTGGCTATCGAGTGCTCTACATAAACGCTCAGAGCCTACGACCAAACTTTTATTAAAAGTTACTAGATCCCCTCGAGAATCCCCAAGGGCTTCCCCTCTGTCTAGTAGTCAATAATGCTATGTAATGATGATTGCTTCCAAAGTTCTTCGAGAACTAGATAGTCATTAATGGATAGTCATTGACAACTGTAGACTGCCATATGTCAGATTGTCATTGGCATGCCTCCTAATGTCCTATCAACTGCCCCTTAATTTCTGTTTTCCTCGCGCCATGGGACAGGTGGCACGCGGAGAATGGAGATTTCCTTGGCACATCTGGTATTTGGGACAGTTATTTGCATGTTTGTCGACTAATTTTGAATTTCAATTAATTACCTCGTCTCCTCGATTTTCAATCATGTTCCCAATAGTATAAATAGGAGAGCCTTTAGTTCGAGACACTTTTTAGACGTTCAAATCTCTCAAGCTCTCTAACCTCTCGAACAATTCTTCAACAAATCCCTTCAAAGACAGTGATCCGTAAGCATTTTCTTATTGTAAACTTATTATTCCCCTTTCTATAGAGCTCCCATGGTTATTATACACAGAACCAGAGCCCCTGGGTTTACTAGTAGGCCCAAAAAAAGGGGGAAAGTGAGAAAAACCCAAATGAACGAGTCTATCTTAGAAGATTTTAGGTCCACCAATAGCATTCCCAATAATGTCTTCATCATTATCTTCAACCCAAGTACCATAGGACAAATGTAGGGAGTGATGATGTCATGCCCTTTCATACAAAGGCTATCATGGAGGGGGAAGTCAGGTTTTCTCTCCTGCCCCTTCTTTTGAGATTCTTGATGCACTTGAGACTTTTCCCCCTTTAGTATTGTATCAGTCTTTTTAGGATAATCATGGGTGTAATCGCCCTTAACGCTCAGCTGAGAATGAACCACGAGGTGGACGAGATTCGTTTTTGCTATGACTTGAAGATAGCCGACAATGACAAATATTATCTGAAATCTCAGGACCCCTCCATGTACTTGGTGACACATATGCTTGACTCAGATAAAGGATACACCTGGGATCTCATCATGCTCGATGGTAGATGAGAGACGAGTGAAGGATCCGAGTATGATGGCCACTATTGCTCCAAGGAACCAAAGGGGCCAGGTACGCACTTTAGCGAGTTTCTCACTTAGTCAACATACTCGATGCTAACATTGTATTTTTTCTTTGCAGAAGGTTATAAAAAGGACGCCGCCTAACCTCTGAAAGCTTCTATTGCCTTTGGTGAGCTTCTAAAAGTGTGGGCACTTGACCTCAAGGATCTTTTCGCTCGGGCAGCGCACATGTTTCTAGGGTACCATCTCGACTACACCTATTTCTGCCAAGTTCCTATACCTTTCGACCCTTCCATCTAGTTGAACCGTTCTCTTGGAAAGGAGGAAGAAACGGACCTAAAAAACGATCTCGACCATGACTTCGAAGGCACCCCTTTTGCACATAACTCACCTCCTTTTGAACCAAACATAATCCACATCGCCCTGATCACCGTAGAGAGCTTGGAAGTCGCCCCTACGGTCATGCAAGGACCTTGTCAACTGTCGCCCTCCAACTAAGGTCCTAACATCAATAGCAGCAAATCGAGCCATGACAGAAATAGTCGGGGCCGCAATAGCAGTAACCCCGCCGTGAACCCTTCCCTTTTACCTGACAAGACCTATCTCTGACTAATTTTGAGGTCGACACGAGCAATGCTGAGGCTGCAACGATGATCGAGCTACCAAGTGTCGAGTGAAGCATCAACATAATGCCCTAACATCGGCTGACTGAGTCACGGAATGGGCCCCCTGCACCATCACTAGAAGGGGAAAGACCATGCTAGAGTCTGACTCTCTTATCCACTCGGTAGACGTGGCCCTGGCTCCATTTTACCTTTACCCATATTTTAGCTCGTCTTTGTTCATCTTTTGTTGTATTGTTTTTGCCTTGCCTCTCAGACTTGCTAGTATTATAGACCGTTTTTGGGATTACCCAACTAAGGCCAAGAAAGTCGAGTATAAGCTGGAGGAGAGGGACTATCACATTGGTCAAGTGGAAAGAACTGTGGGCGACCAGGCAAAGAGCATCGCCGACCTTATTCGGCTGGCCGAGGGCCTCTCCTTTAAGCTAGAGAAGAGTAAGGTGCTTGAAGCCAAGGCTAAAAGGAGGATGCTAGAGGCCAAGTTGCTAGAAGACAAAGAGAATTGTGTGGCTTTGACCTCCA